TTTTTTTTTTTTTTTTTTTTTTGACTGCTGAGCACTGTTTCACTGTTTATATATGCACTAACTTTTGATCCACTCATCTATTTTTGGGCACTTAGGTTATTGTTGTATCATGCTTGTAAATAATGCCATGAGAATGAGGCTGTAGTCTTCCTAATTAGTTTTTTGTATTCTTTGGATACCCATTTTTAGTCTTTTAAGAAATCTCCATACTACTTTCCATAGGGGCAGGACCAGTTCATTCCCAACAACAGTATAAGAGGGTTCTCTCTCATCCCCCACTCCCTTGCCAGCACTTATTTCTGGTCATTTTGGCCTGGGCCATCCTCACTGATACAGCTGGTATCCCATTGTGATTTTGATTTGCATTTCCTTAATGATACATGATAATGAACATTTTTTCCTATGCCTATCAGCAGGAAATATTTTTTGAACATCCTGTCATGTCTTTGTTTATTTAGCACCACCACGTAGTACTTTTTAATACTAAATTGAGCCATTCCCTAGCAGTAAGATTGCTTCACCAACTTTTGTTTCAAGTAGAAGTATTTTATAGTAATACTTTCTTCCCTGTAAATGTCATGCAAAAACCTGTTTCTGTGTATTATAGTCACATAACTTTATGACCAAAGAACTTGATATAAAAAATAGCAATTCCCTTTATTAGAAGTTTGAGTATTTACTCATTTTTCTCCCTAGGGCTCATTTCCAAGAAGTGGATTTTCATTCAAGGTTTTTTATCCTTCCAGTAAGACAATAGAAGATAGGTAAGTGTCCATAAAACAGCAAGAAGCTTCTCTTGGCTTTATACTGTTAAAAATAAGTTGTTCCATAAAACAAATTTTTGCAATTAATTTATTCAAATAGAAATGAACACACATTATACAGAACACTGAAACAATGATTATAAGAATTGAAAAGGAAAAATACCTCTTCTTCCTAAACCTGATATTATAATTACCTAATTCTTGACTAATATGTATTTCATTTTACCAGCCCCACACTGAATCCTAAAAACAATAGCAAACCTGAAAACTTTTGGATTGCCCTTAAGTTAGGGCAAGCTCTTCTCCAGTCTCACCATTCCTTGTTGATACCAGGATACCCCCAGGACTAAGTCAACTCTGATCATATGTTGTTTTAGATGGACTTTTACTGAACTGAAATTTGTTGTAAGAGTTATGAAACTCAGTACTGGGAACTCTTTTTTTTGGCAGGGGAGGCTTTTCTTCTCTCCATAACTCCCCAGTACTGGGAACATTCAACAGGATTCTAGACGAGAGAAATCCTCTCCCAAACAACTATTTTTTTATGTTGTGGAACTGTACATCTAACTGTCTTCTTTGGCTTTAGCTGCTAGGACACACAGCCAAAATGAGTAGCCCATTTCTATAGCTGTAGAGCAAAAACATTTGGTTTGGTCACCGGCTTCATCTTTTTTTTTTTTTTAACCTGATTCTCCTTACTTACTTACCTCTATCTGTTCTTTACAGTTACCTCTGCAAGCCACATCATTATTCTTTCTTAAAAAATGAGTTTGGAGACAGTCACAATAGAAAATTGATTCATTATAACAATACTTGTAATCTCTTGTAATGTTCCTTGCAGTATCATTTTGTTCTATGGCCTTTATACATATTTCTAAAACAGCTGTTAACACATTGAAGTAGAAGTCACTTGAGTGTGTGTCCCTTTTAGAAGTTTCTAGTGTCATACTTGATTTGTATTTGATGCTTATTGTTGAACTGAAAGTTGATTCCATTATTTTCTCGCTTATTGTTGAACTAAAAGTTGATTCCATTATTTTCTCTGGACTCAAATGTTGCAAAGTTTTTACATGGTTTCCAAACTATAATTTGGTATTAACAATGTGTCCTCTTTCAATACAGGATCAAATAACTTGGTATTATTTTTTAAGAGAACAGAAAAATATTTCAAGATATAGTAAAATAATTTGGTCTGTTTCTAGTTTTTCTTAAAAAGAAGTCTTTTGAGAGAATATTGTGAAATTATGTTAATCAGACATGTAGTCAAAGTAGGTAAGGTTAACTCTGTTTCACATGTCCTCTCAAGTTGGCTGTTTAATTTTTAAAACACAGTATTGGGGATGCATTGAAGAGACAGCCATTCTCACAGAGTTGATCAGAATAAAAAACAGCGAAAACCGAGGTCAATTTGACAAGATTTCTTAAGATCTCAATTGCACATAACAGGAATTCCATTTCTAGGAATTTACCTCAGTGGCATATTTGGGCTTAGCCGTAAAAGTAGTTATAGCTATTTCTATTGCAGTTTTTATAATATTAAAGGAAACATTTTAAATGTATATCCACTTAAGTGTACACACTTAGAACTTTTCTAACTTACTTAAAATGAAGGGATTATGGATAAATGTAATGTTTTAATTAAGGCTAATGTAGATTTATTTCTAATAGAAAAGAACTGCACTCAGTATTCTACCATGTGTTTTTAAAGCATACCTCCCCTCCTACTTGCTTATTTATGTTTGACTACCTTTAAGTTACATGTAGTTGCTTATGGAGAGAATCAATGCAAGACCATATGCATGTACTGACTTATTTTTAAAATGATTCAGCTAAAAGTAAATATTGAGAAGCATGCAAAAATTGGTTTCTAAAATGTTTTTTTTAATTATTTTTGTTTTCAGCAAACTTCAAGGGTTTTGAATCTTCAAGACTATCTGAAGATTTCCTTCCTAATTTTGTATTGTATTTATTTTGATATTAAGTTACAATAAAATTATAGTAAACCTTAGAATGTTCTGCTTAAATTTGTATTTTATGAATTTTTTATTAGCAATCATGGTGACCTTATAAGTTTACCTAAGAAAAACAGTTTCTACATAATCTTTTTGGTCTTTTACTTTGAAGCAGTATGTTTTCCTATTCTTGTCTGTAATCACTCAACTCCATTCCCTTATTGACCTTTAGTTTGTGGCACTGAAATAGCCCAGAAGTAATTCTGAGTGACAGCAAGTTGTTGGATGAGTTAAGAGTTTTTCAATACAGGGGAGGAGCCTGCAATACAGGATATTTCTTTCAAAGAAAATTCTTTGAGAGAAGATAAAAATGACAGTAATGTGGAAATTCCTCAAGGAAATTCAATCTGAATGTAGTAAGAAATGAATTAGCAACTAAGGATGAAGTGGTAATTTCAGATGGAAAATTTGTTAAAAGATCATGCCTGGGCATTAATTGTAAGAACAGCCTGGAAAAACTGAAAGTTTAATATGAAATCAACATACACGTATAAAAGCTGCCAGACTGCTTGGACAGTTTTAGTTTGGGCTTTGCTTGAAAATGGTAGCAGTGAACAGTCATTTGGAAGGTTTGTCTAGTTTATGAGAACTAAAGAGCTAACTATGGAAGATGATGGGTAGGAAGTTATTGATGGAAATTGTATACAAAGTATCTCCTCACTGATTAACAATGGGTTCTGTAATTAAAATGAGTTTCCAAGGGCTCCCATGGTAGTGTAGGGGTTAAGTCTCAGCTCTATCATCCAAGCATCACTGTGGCCCAAATTCAATCCCTAGCCATGGTACAGCTAGGTACACATGGTACAGCAGACCTCTCACGTCTCACGTGCTGCTCCCTTTAGCAGCGTACTTCAGTAAAGCTGCCAGTTCTGCTCCCCTTCTGTCTTTGGTGAAAATTCTCAACACCCCCGCCCTCCCACCTCTGGCCTATACCCCAGTTCTTTCTATGTATAAATAAATAAATCTTAAAAAAAAAAAAAGATGTTTTTGGAATCTTCAGAAATAGTTAATGGCTAGACAAGGGGTTAGACAAGGTAAGTGAGATGAAGTAAGGTGAAAACAGGTTAAGTTGCCAGAACCTAGTGATTAGTATTCAGAATAACAGGAACCAGAACCAGAGAAAGATAAGCAAATGAGAAGTTAATACAGTTATAGGTTAAGGGGCATGGGTACCCTAAGCTTCTTCTGGCTTCCACTCTGGGGAGAAGCAAGAGATTGTATACTTCTAAGTTGGTATTCAATAAGTGAAGCATGTAGGTTTAATGTACCTCAGGGGCCAGGTCAATAACAGAGGGTAGGTCAATAGCAATATAGGTCAAAAACTTATGTATTTGGTCTCCTGTAGTGAGACCTTAGGGAGTACCAGGGGCTGGAGCACTATGCTGTTCTGTTTTACCCAGTTATAGCTGTGTAGGAATCCTCGCCAACATAGCCATTTTGGAGAAAAAAGTATTTTCAGGTAAAGCATCCTAATTTGTGAAGCACTGACAGCTAATTTAAATTGCAGTTTGCACCACAGAAGACATGATTACAAACTGGGTTAATGTTTATGAATTGCTTTTTCTGTTTTTTAAGTATAGGAATTTAACTGGTGTCTTATAAATACCCCTACTGAGTTGGGGTGGGTCCTAATCATTCAATAACATCTACAGTGGAGTGACTCTGTCCTTGTTATAATGGTGACAGCTCAGCTCAAGCAGGATAAAATTCTGATCCCGTGCATATTCATATGTTTTTCTATAGAGCCAAGACCCCCCACCCACCATATTGAGCCAGTGAAGATCTTCTATTGTTCTTATACATGGGCTTTGCATTTAGACAGATCTGAATAAAAAGAGGGTGGGGCTTATAAACCACTGCTCTACTTCTTTAATACCTGCATTAAATATTTACTATGGCAAGCACTGTGCTAAATGCTTATTCACTGTGCAACTTAATCCCTATTAAGTTCACCATTACCTTTAATTTATACATGAAAAAAACAGGTTTACAAGTATGGTATATCAACTGCCCATGATCACACCCCTGGTAAGGGGCATGGCTAAGTTAACTCTGGGTTATTTGACTGGGCAAATAAATCTTGCCTATACTTCCTTACAAAACAGTAATTCTCCATACTCCACTAGAGTATGCAAAGACTAGAGCTATGCAAGGTCATCTTTCCAGAGCTTATAAACCAAGGCTAGAAGTCAAAAGAGCACAACAGAAAACTCCACTGTCTTATTTCATGAGTCTGTTTTTTTCAGTTATGTGTTAGGACTTGTCCTGTTCTAGGACAACTGTTTCACTTGCCTAAGTTTAGACATTTAGTGTGGACTTCCATTTCCTGAGGGTTGTCTCTTTGCCATCACTTGAAGATCCCAAATGTAGTTCTTGGTAGAGAGCATCAGGTACAATAGAAGTGTACAATTTTATACATCTCTCACATGCCTAAAAACTTACCAATCACTGGTTATTTATGAATCGCCTGTACCTGTCTCTTGCCCAAATGAGTTGTTACTCAAACTGCTAATTTAGGAGCAGTTTGGGCAGGTACAGAGGGCAAATTATTAATATATAGTGAAATATCTGGAAGATTGAGATACTGATTTAGCAAAGTGAAAAAAGGGCAGAAAACCTAGGTTTGAATTAGTTTTGTAAATGTGGTGAAATGATTTCTACGGTCTGAAATGGGTGTCAGATCTAGAAATGGTGTGAACCATGAATAAGATAAAATGCACATAATGCTGGAAATTATGAATTATACTAGTTTTTCTGCAGAAGTTATTGCACTATGGCCCCGGAATCTAACCTGCAAAACATAAGGTGGTTGGTTTGAAGAAAACTAAAGATTATTTCTAGCGTTTCCACGACCCCACGCCCATTCTTGCGCGTCCCAGCCCCTCCTCCCCACGTGTTGTGATGTCACTATGGCAACCAACACGCGCTGCGTAGACTCAGTTGGCTGACAGTTACCGAACTCAGCCTGCTAACGCATCAGAGCTGCTCTCCCTTGGCCCTAGAGCAAGAGCCTTGGCCCGAGGGGTAGGATGGCCAAGAAGGCAGCTGCTTCGGGACTAGAGGAGTTAGACCTGAGCGGAGAAGAGGTCCAACGACTCACCTCCGCCTTTCAGGACCCGGAGTTTCGGCGAATGTTCGCCGAGTACGCCTCGGAGCTCAACGACCCAGAAAATCGGCGGCGCTATGAGGAGGAGATCACCGCGCTGGAGCGTGAGCGCGGAGTGAAGGTGCAATTTGTGCACCCGGAGCCAGGCCACGTGTTGCGCACCAGCCTGGACGGGGCGCGTCGCTGCTATGTGAACATCTGTAGCAATGCGCTGGTGGGTGCGCCCAGCAGCCGGCCGCGCTCCGCGGGAGCGAGGTCGGGCAGCCAGTGGTCCCTTCCCTACAGCCTGGCTCCCAGCCGCGAGTACGCGGGAGGCCGCGGCGCCCGCTACACGGCCTACGACGTGGTTTTCCACCCAGAAGCGCTGGCGTTGGCTCGGCGACACGTGCGTTTCCGCCAGATGCTGGACGCCACGGCCTTAGAGGCTGTGGAGAAGCAGTTCGGTGTAAAACTGGACCACAGGAATGCCAAGACCCTGAAGATCAAATACAAGGGGACCCCGGAGGCCGCCGTCTTGCGCACGCCCCTGCCTGGGGGCGCCCCTACCCGGCCCGAAGATGAGCCAGAGAGCCCGCTCCCGGATTTCCCCTACCCTTACTCCGGTCCGGCCGTCACCGAGGACGCCCCGGTCTCCCAGCCCCAGGCGCCCTCCCCTCCTCCCGAGCCTGACCAGCCGCCTGCCCCCACCGAGCCTCGCTACAGCGTGGTGCAGCGCCACCACGTGGACCTCCAGGATTACCGCTGCTCCCGGGACTCGGCTCCCAGCCCCGTGCCCCGGGAGCTGGTGGTGACCATCGAGCTACCGTTGCTGCGCTCGGCCGAGCAGGCGGCGCTGGAGGTGACGGGGAAGCTTCTGAGCCTCGACTCGAGAAAACCCGACTACCATCTGAAGCTGTCGCTCCCATACCCCGTGGACGACAGCCGCGGCAAAGCGCAGTTCAACAAGGCCCGGCGGCAGCTGGTGGTGACGTTACCTGTGGCGCTGCCAGCCCCGCCCCCGGAGCCTGCCCCGGCGCCGGAAGTGTCGGGCGACGCGCCCGGAACTGACGGCACGCCCTGCGCTTCCCCTTGCGAGGAGGAGGCGGACCCGACGTGGCCTGACCAGCGGGAAGGCGACTCGGGTCCGTGTCCAGCCCGGACCCCTGACTACGCCGGCAACACCTCGGCGTGCACCGCTGGAGGGGAGCTTGTCTCCCAGCCCCGGGAGCGGGACTTCGGCGAGCGAATGGCGGTGACTGCGGGAGTCCGCGAGGAGCCGGGTCCCGCAGCGGAGAGCTTGCCCGGGGGCGGTGGCGGTGGCGGAGGCTCGTTGTGTACTTCTTTCGGGGATTTTGTTGGGGGACCTTCTGTAGGAAGAGGGGGTACATGCGAAGACCTCGGTTTGGAGGTGCGCCTGGCGGGAGAGGGCTCCAGCAGCGAGCTATCTGATCGAGCCATGGGTTGTCCCGAGGCCGACAGCGGGGGACTGTTGTGTCCTCCTCTGCACTGTACTCAGGACGAAGAATCCCTGACCCTGCTAATCCAAGTGCCTCAGATTCAGTCGCAGAGTCTTCAAGGGGATGTGAACCCCCTTCGGTACAAATTGTGCTTCTCCACGCAAGACCTAGTTTATTACTCCTTTGTTTTGCAATTTGCTTCAGAGAATAAATTGAGTACTAAAGAACCAATGGTTAGCATTTCTTCAGACAATGCAGTGATAGAACTCGCAAAATCGCCCGAGAGCTATGGACAGTGGAGACAGTGGTATTATGGTATAAACGACAGTTCTTTGGAGGTAACAGTTCTTTCTGTAGTCTAACATTTGAAATGCTGTTTTTTATCGCCTTTTTAAAATTTGCTATTACAGGTAAAGTAGTTTATTCTAAACCGCAAAGATAACAGTGAGCATTTAAATTGTATGGGGAAAAAGCAAAAACTTACAGGCAACCGCTGTGGTGCATGAGTTTCCAGTCTTCAACTTTGTCCTGAATGCACTTGTTTACGTGCAGTCTGTTGTCTCTAAAGGAAAATATGAATGGCCTTACAAGGATTTCTGAACCTCTAAAATTATATGTGAAAAGTTGAGGGTATTTCTTCTAGAACTTTTGTCATTCTATTACCAGGTAGGTTTATTAAGCATTCCGTTATGGTGTTAACGGAAATAAAAGCCTTACTGGTAGTTTATTAGTAATCAGTGACGTTTCAAACCCTGGAAACAGTTGAACAGATTTTACCCTATGAGAAAGACGCCACCCATAAATTTGACTTCATTTGATGTACTTTGTTACAGAGTAATTTACAGAACAGTGAATATTAATCATATAAATTAATTGCTCTTGACAAGGGGCTTCTGGTTTTCATTTGTAGATCTAGATCTTTTGATATCTTAAATTGTCTTGGCCTATCAGTGCACGTTATTATATAGGGCAAATGCTGGGGGCTAAACATTTTCTTGGCTTTGAAAATTTTGTAAAAATCTTTGTCTCTCTAGTCAGAGGTGGGAGAAAAGTTAGTTTGCCCTCAGGCATCAAATTCTTCTCTATCTCCTCCTTGCAGAGTCAGTTCTGATTTTTAAGATTAAGCAGATACCTTTGCACACTTATCTGCTAGATTGGAGAGGGGGTGTTCTTGATCTTTCACAGTTTTCATATTTTAAGCTGGCAATTTTTTTTCATTCTTTAAATGACCTTCAAAAGTAAGTCAGCTAATACCACAGTTCTCACACCTGATTGTGAGTCTAGATCTGATGCCCATAGATAGGGTTGTCCTGTAGTGGGTGTTATGTTATTGACACATTGTAATTGCCTCTTTTTGTTTCTAGTATTTGACACAAAGGCATTTAACAAGTATATCTATATTTTCTATACGGAGCAGCACCAACAGTAGCTGTACCTCTTCTGGGCAAATGTTCAAAATGGGCATAATTTTGATGAGTAGGATGTTTTATTGTAATTTTGCTGTACTTTTTAGGTTATTGAGGTTCTTAGATTCAGTGCTCCAGTATTATTTGCAAGTAATAAAAAAGATTTAAAGTGTAAAGTTACTTTTTAAATTGAAAAAAAAAAATTGGTAGTTTTGACTGAGGTTTGTATCCAAGGATTAAATTCTCTGAAACAACACTAGTTGCACAGATTAATATTACAAATGAAGTTACTGACCTCGGGGTTATGTTGTGAAGGGGGGTGTCTTCTGCAAGAAGTGATTAATTTGAAACCCTTCAAAATCAGAATAAGTAGCTGGGACTAGGTAAGATACTTTGTGAGAGCATAAAATGTGAAATTGACTATTTATGCCATCAGAGGAGAGAAATTTAAGAAAGGGTTGTCATGTAATTGATTTAATAAGTGAATACTTCAGTGTGGGAAGAAAACTTTATGGGTAAACACTTGAGAAAACACTAAAGATGATTTTATATGATTTTCTACTGTTTAACTTAATTAAAATAGCTAAACAAAAATGAGAGTAGGCAACTGTGTTTTATATTTTTGAAGCCTGCAAGTAATTCATAATTACTTCATTAATCATGGTATTTGTGCCAAGTGTGATGGAGCCATAATGTTCAACTTTTTTTGCTTTGCATTGTATTGGACTGGGATTTCTGAGTATTAGGTAAAATTTTTTAAGTTAAAGAGTAGTAGGTGGATATACATATAATGAATACATTATTGATAGACGTTATATCAAGATATAAGTAACTGATCTTTGTCAAGATTAAAATTGTTATTCATGCATAAATAAGTATAAAATACATTAATATAAGCCTTAATTAAGATTGACAGTATTTTTCTGGAGCACTAGGGCCACTCAGTTTCATTATCTTTTATAGTAAAATCAGTAATTAGGGGCTTGCCTGATGGCCTAGGGATTAACATCTCAGTGCTGCACCCCATGGCCTGAGTTCCATCCTGGGCCAGGGAGCTCACCCACATAGCATAGTGGACCTCTCCTGTCTTCCCTACAGCTCCCCTCAGTCAGTCTGCTTCCCTACTGCTCCCCTCAGTCAGTTGGCCTGTTCTGCTCCCCACTTGATCTCTAGTGAATCCTTTTACCCCCTGCACCTCTGGCCTGTATGCATAAATACATCTTAAAAAAATTTGTGTATATATGTACTTTTTTTTTAAATATAATAGTTTATTTTTACATTTGGTACATTTTTTTTTTTTTTCATCTCAATTGTAATCCCCGTGGGTTCCCATCACCGAGTCACCCATGGTATATATACACTTTTAACTGGTCAAGAAATAAAACGTATATGTGTATTTCTTCACTTAATCATTAGAAAGTGTTCTAAAATTGAATTACATTTTGTAGTTGGAATTGTATTTATAGCCCTAGAATATTATAAAATAGTAAGAAAAATATATTTGTAAATACCTAGGAGAAAAACCTTTAGAAAATGAATCAGGACTTTTTTAAGCTATTTTCCTATATATGTGTGTTAGTTGAGTATATTCTCTTGCAATTCTTATTGCTCTGTTAAATACTGTTTTCTTTGACTAGGACAGTATAGACTAACAAACTTTTCAAAAAAGTATAATCCTGAACTTTGTGAGAATTTTATTTATGCACAAATTATTTATTTGTGCATATGAGAATTGGGGTACAGGCCAGAGTTGGGGGGGGGGTTTGGTGAGAGGATTTATCATAGACAGAGTGGGTAGCAGAACAGGCAGATTGAAAAAGTACACTGCTGAGGGGACCAGTGGATAGGCCAGGAAAGATCTGCCAGGCCAGGAAAGATCTGCCAGACCATGTGGATCACCTTCCTGGCCAGGATGGAACCCAAACTGCAGTGGCTGTGGACAGCTCCACAGTGCTGCGCCCCATCCCAATGTGGCACCAGGGCTTTGTGAGAATTTCATGAACTGTTTTTATATACAGCTGTATCAACTATGAATTGCAAGGCAGAACATTGTTTCCCTTTTTATTTCAGGAAAGGTTGTTTGTCAATGAAGAAAATGTAAATGAGTTTCTTGAAGAAGTCTCAAGCTCTCCATTCAAACAGACAAACCATCCAGTACCGTTAATTGAAGTTCTTCAGGTTTCTGATAGTAAGATTCAGATTCATGCCAAGGTAAGAGTTTTGATGGACTTAGTGGAGAAGTGATTTGGAATGTGACCTAACAATTTAATTCTTGGTTTCTTGACATAATTTTAAATGTACATGGTGGCTAGGAAGAGTGATCTTAGGTTTTGTTTTTTTTTTTTTTTTGTATATATTTACTGTGTGCTAGTAAATACTGCAGTTTTTTCCGCATTTAATCCAAATAACTGTCCAATAGAGAGAAACTTGGCGCCTCTAGTGGCACAAGGGGCTAGGTCGCAGCATTATAAAGCAATCTGCAGCCACTGCAGCACATGTTTGATTGTGGCCACATGATGCAGCAGACCACTCCTGTCTTCCCCACTGCTTTCCTGAACAATGTGTTTTGGTCAATCTGCATGTTCTGTTCCCCACTTGGTCTCTGATGGGTCCTCTTACCACCCTCAAGCTCCCACCCCATACTCTGGCTTATACCCCAAGTCTTGAATGCATAAGTAAATAGATCTTAAAAAAAGAAAGAAAGAATAGAGAGAAACAAACAGTTGGGAAGTTTGAGTGCTAGTCCTGGGGTAAATCTTTTTGGCTCTCAAAAGAAGTATGTCTACTGTGGGCCCTCTGGGGTGGCACAGTGGGTTGGAGCTCTACACTGCGAAGCTAAGTCAAGCAGTGGCCGCTGCAGCGTGAGTTCGATACCTACCCTGAAGGTGACCCAGATGGCACAGCAGACCCCTCCTGTCTCGCCCGCTGCTCCCCTCAGCAGTGCACTTTGTCGATCTGCCTGTTCTGGTCCCTGCTGTTTCTGGTGAATCCTCTTGCCACCCCTGCACCTCTGGCTGGTACTGCATTTCGGTATACATAATATTTTTTAAAAAGAAGTATGTCTACTTTTTTTTTTTTAATATATTGTCAATACTGTTCCTGGAAATAATTTCATAACTAGAACAATTTGAGATATGGGGCAGGTGGGAGTAACCCTGAAGAATCAACTGACATTCAAGAAAATCGAGAACCCCCTTTTAACTGTTAAAGGATTTTGTAGACACTTTGAAAACTTAGATTATTTTATGCAAAGGTGAAGATTCATTGAAAGGATTGAAAAGGCTTAATAAGAGACTTAATGGCAGGTTTGCATTGTTTGCAAAAAAAAAAAATGACTTGGTAGCATTTGGAGGATGACTTTAAGGAGGGAGGTTGGAAGCATATCTGCAGGTCTGCAAGTTATTCCCTCATAGCTTAAAAAAAATTTTATTTGCAAAGGGAACTACAATTTGATTTTGTTTGAAAGCATTAATGTGTTGTTTCTCTTGACATAGTTTCAAGACTGTAGTGACTCTGATCAACTACATGAAAAGGAAGAAAAAGTCAATGAAGGAAGTCATCTGACTGAAAAAGAAAATATAGAACATCCTACTACCTCAATACCTGATTCTGATTCATCCATAGCAATTAAAGCACCAGAAATAGAAGGTGGTGGTACAGTTACATGCTTGCAACAAGAGTCTCTTGATGTTTCTCAGACTTTATTTGGAAAGTGTCAGCAACCTGAGTTTCAAACAAAACCTGAATCTGTATCAGAAAAATGTGCCATTTACTTAAATGAGAAAAAGGGTAATTTAAAAGCAGCAGCAGTAACTGAAGAGAAGGAATTAGATGGACATCACCTATATTCATTACAGAACAAAACTATAGTTCACAGTATGACTGATTTTGACAACATAAAAGAAACCAATATGCAGGATGGTAGTGTGACGATTATTAAAGATCATGTGACTCACTGTGCATTCAGTTTTCAGAATTCTTTGCTATATGACTTGGATTAATTTTGTGTAACTTTGAAGGTTAAAGGCTAAAAATGGAATTAAAATAGATTGTTAACTACTATCTTAAAACTGATAGTATTCAAGGAAATACAAGTTAAAATTGAAATTTGGATTCTAGAGACTGGAGTTAATGTTTTTGTATCTGCAAAGTTCATGCAACTTAATTATGGATATAAATTTTGTGATTTTCTTACGGATGTATAATTTTTTAATGGAGAATTAAATCTTCAGTTTTAATAATATACATTTTTCCATGTGCGTTGTTTTTGGCTTATCATTCTTGCAGTCAGTTTTCACTGTGTTGTGTCACAAAAGTAATTCTCATAAATGCAAATAGCCAAAAATATGGATGTAGGTATGGGAGGTTAGAAACTTAAAAATGCATGTGTAAGTATCACTAGGATGTATTTATGTTCCAATTCTTAGACTCTTAAAATTTTACTAATCTTCAATTATAGTACACATACACGGAATGAAGTTTATTTTGCTTCAGTTTCACTGTATCATACGTAGTATATTTAATAGATTATTTAGTAATGAATGAATTTTTTTTTAATTACTAAGTACTTAAACATGTCTTGAATTTTTACATTTATGAATTTAGAACAGGACAAAAAAAAACTAGGAATATGTGACAATAGGATTGTCTTCATTATGTATTTATGTGAAAACAAAAAACCCAATGTACTCTAGTTCCTTTTATAACACCTGAGACAAGCAGCAAATAATGTAACAGTGGCTGCATTATTTTGTGGAATGTTTTTAATTTGCAGCCAAGAGGTTTTTCTTTCTAGATTTTTTTTCCCCTCAGGATTTCAGAAAACATGAAAACAGCATGAAAGAAAACAGAAAGGTAAATATTTGTTGATGTATCGTTGAAGTCAAGGTCATGCCTATTTCTGTCTTAAAAACTGTTAATTCAGACCTTTGGTGTTAAGTCATTTTCTTAAATCCTTTTGAGTTGAGGTCAGATCAGAGCATCAAAAACTAGTGCAAAGGCAACTGATCTGCATTTCTAACCCTGATCAAATCTAGAACCAGACTGCGCTGTGAGGGCAGTATAAAGATAGCTCATTGAGAAATGTCCCCACTTTAGACGACCATATGTATTTTTCAACCATAATATGAATCTTAGTTCATTTAGAAATGAATAATTGCAATAGTTACACAATCATCAGTAATTTTTGGTTGAAACAGTTATATACAGCTAAGGGAAATGTCTATATTAATGTAATTTTAAGCCTGTTTGCTGTTATATACTTCCTGTGTCCTTTTACAAAGTATGATTTCGGTTAATGCTGGCACGAGGACATGTTTGACTTTGGCATGACTGAAGTTTGTATCATTTGAAAACAATTTAGACTGTTATTCCACTCACACAACAGCTTTTTATTGTTCATTATCTAATCCTAGCTAATTTGAAAACCAGTTTTATCCAAAGGGAATGTGTTCTCAAGAGTTGGGTTTTCGTCAAACTCAGTTACACAACGTATAAAGTAGTAAATATGAAGATGTAATACTAACTTTAAAACTTATAGAAAGCTTTTACTGAAATCTGGCATAAGTAAAAATTTATTGGGCAAAATAAATAGGAAATTTTTATGCAAAAATGATTATTTTATTTTGGCAGCACTAAAAAAAAAATCAAAACCACTGTATTTCTACATTGAGGTGAAAACAATTTTGAAACTTTCTTACCAATCAAATACATTCCAAAAGAAAGTGTGTTCTATGAAGGTTCCAAAGCACAGGCAAATCTTGATAATACAGGAATCCTTAATACTGAAAATGACTGTTCTGACAGGGTGATTAACAAACATAACTTGAATTATAAAATTAGTGAAGCAGTCCCTTCCTAGTAACTGTCAAGCGTGAAACTGAGTTTATTTTGGTAATACTTCCAACATTTCATTGCAATACTTTTTACTTCTATGACAATTTTAAATTTTGCCATTCTTAAAATGTTTTGAAAGTGGAAAAGTGTACAAAGTTCCAGATAAAAAGGTAACGTGATTTAAATAAAATTTATACTTTTCTCTCATCAGTTAACAACAATCATTACTTTTAGCAGATACAGATTAGTCTTTAAAACCTGTAGACATATTAAATTTTAATCATATATACCTGGAAAAGATGACTATATTCGGACACCTCTTGCAAGATTTTTTTTTTTGCATTAAAGCAGAAGCCTGTTCCTAAACCCTTTTGATTGTATATCCTGTTCGAAGAAATATCAAAAATAGAAGACTTACTTTTGTATTTGTGAATTTTCACTGCAGTCTTCTATAACTTTTACAGAGTTCATGGTCCCTAATATCTCCCCACCCTCCATTTTTCCTAGGTGCTGAAAGGGCTACCATATGAAATTTCTGACCAATATTTAGAGTTTCGGGAAATAGATACTGTTTGTTATTATTTAAGAGTGACTCAATTTGGGCACTCTGGGTGGATGGTCTACAGATTTTCTTGTGGTGCATACCACAGTCTCCAGCATGAAAAATCCTAGGAACTTGAGGAACCAACACTTTCCAGAATTTTGGAAGACAAGAGACAGTCAAATATTGAAGAGTCCAGTCCCAGTTATAATCATCATAAGTACAGAAAGCGTCTGTGCACTGGATCAGCTTCTGATATGCATCCCGGGTCAAGGCTAGACCCATATTGTGTTCAGTGGATTTCCATGTTTTCACATCTACCTTATCAGCAATGCCATAGAAACTGCCACTGGCAGTATAGGACCCCACGGAGAGAACATCACATTCAGGACACTCTTGCTGTTTTAATTTCCACATCTTTTTTAAGACATGGTAAAAGTCTGGGGCTACATAGTGATCCTCCTCCAGGAAAAGGATGAGGCCAGCATAGTCTTGAAGAACTTTGACTCTCTCCCATACAAAATGCAACTTCCACCACCAATGGTGTTTGGTTTGGGAGAACTTGGCCTCTCTGTAATGGCCGAAGGAGTCGGGATACTCAGCATTAATGCAGCCCATTTTCAGAGCTGCTTTCTTATCCAGGTCTCTGGGGCAATCTCTGGGGTCACTGCCCGGAAACTCGTTGGGGTACAGCTGAGTGCTGAAAGGAAAGAACACCTGCAGAACAGGACAGAAATCCACCCCAGCGATCAGCTGATTAATCTCTGTCGACCAAAAGTCATGGCTAAAGATGACGAGGACGTCATCCATGCCCTGGGCTTTTCGAAGTGAGTCCAGCAGCAATCTGAGGTATTCGGGTCGATTATGCACCTGGACCACCAGCACCAGCTCCCGGGGAGGCCAAGAACTGGCCTTCTCCACATTCCTCAGCGTCTGGTCAAAGTTCAGCTGGTAGACCAGGGACCGGTACCGCAGGGTCCGGTTGTCCGCCTCGGGCTGCGGGGCGGCGGGGACGAGCGGGGCTGCTGACTCGTTGGAGACTCGGCGGAGACCCACCGACCCGACGGGATGGTCTCCGGCCCGGCCACCCGCACCCCGCGCGGGCTCGGCATCCAGTAGCGGCGGGGCGAAGGCGTCGTTCTTCCTTTGTCGCCCATTGCTATTCCAGAGGACGAAGCCGCAGGCGGCCACCACGAGCGTCAGGATCAGCACCTTACGCTTGTAGATACGGAACCTCATGGTCTCCAGGGCCAGGAGCGCGGCAGGCGGACGCCGAGACGAGCTAACGGCTTCTGCACGGAAGGGGCGCCCTGGGAAGGCAGCGGTCGTTGCCTTGGCCTGTAGCAGCAGGAACTGGCCCCCGCGGCCGCTCTCGCTAACTCATCTCGGGCCCCGAGGGTCCTGGGGCCCAACGGCTCTCAGCTCCCCACTGCCGCCCGCGCTCCACACATCCTCAGCAGCAGCAGCAGCAGCAGCAGCAGCAGCAGCAGCAGCAGCAGCAGCAGCAGCAGCAGGGCGGGCAGTGGCCCCGCCGCTAGGAGCTGCGGTTCCGCGCCACCTGGATCCTCTCCATTCACCAACGGTCCCGGAAGAAGTCCCGCGGCGCCCCCACCGCACCCCGGCTTCGTTACCTGCGCCTCCAGCAGCCCTGAGTCCTCTGCGCTCTCATCTTTCCGCGGGCCCCGGGTTGCCGCGACCTGGCAACGCTGCCTCGCCCCGTTCGGCGGCGACCGTTCTGACAAGCCGCGACTGGCCCTCCGAGCGCCGCGGCCCTCCGGCCCACACCCCTCAGGCCCGCCCCCCGGCGGTTGGTTGGCGCTTCCCGGACGCGGCTGGCACCGCCCGGTCCTCGTTGCCGGCCGTCTATTGGGCAGCGGGCCTGTCGCTCCGACGCAGTTCCGGCTTCCGCCTCGACCTTCCCTTTCCTGTTGGGCGCGAGCAGACCGAGCTGGGGATCGTGGACCCCTGGTTGCCAAGTAAGCTCTAGAAGGGTCTGTAACCTTCCACCCGGGGCCTCTAGTGCTTCGAACCGCGGCTGGAGGTTTCAGCTTTGTAGCAGAGGGCGAGCGAGCCCTGCGTCCTTGGCTTGACTGGGCTCAGGAGCTGGCGCCTCCCTTCAGGAAGAGGCTGTCAGGCATGGCGGCTTCTGGGAGGCGAGACACTCGTTAGGGACACGTCAGCCTTCAGGCCGTTGTTGGGCAACGGTCTTTCGTTTGTGTGCCCGGCGGGTGGGGGGCGGTGTGTAGTCAGACTGAGGCGGCCGGGCCGGGCCGGGGCCCTCGCTGCTTCATGGCACACGGAACCTGGCGAGCCTTGAACCAGAACAGGGAGGGACGGGGTGCGAGGAAGCGTGGAAAAGGAACTCGTCTTGTTTGTCCTTCTCTTTAGGGGAGATTAGGAAAACACAACGGTGCTTTTCTTTTGGTGGACAGGCACAGTAAACCAGACTTGCACGGCAGTCCTGTGCTGCTGTAGTAGGTGCTTTTTGGTGCATCTCATAAATGCTGTATTAATTTAAGCATCCTAAAAAAGCGTGGAGTTATATTTTATCATGAAAAACGAGTACCTGATGGATTTATACATGACAGACTTAATTACTGTTCAGTATAAGTTACTGTCTTATAAATTAGGAAATGTTTTAACATCTGCTACCATTATTTGAATTATTTTACTAGTTTTCATCGTATCGACAGCTCTTTTGCAAAGATGGTCAATGTCCCTAAAACCCGGAGGACGTTCTGCAAGAAGTGTGGAAAGCATCAGCCCCACAAAGTGACCCAGTATAAGAAGGGCAAGGATTCCCTGTATGCCCAGGGAAAGAGGCGCTACGATCGGAAGCAGAGTGGCTATGGTGGGCAGACAAAGCCGATTTTCCGGAAGAAGGCTAAAACCACCAAGAAGATAGTGCTGAGACTTGAATGTGTGGACCCCAACTGCAGATCCAAAAGGATGCTGGCCATTAAGAGATGCAAGCATTTTGAACTGGGAGGTGATAAGAAGAGAAAGGGTCAAGTAATCCAGTTCTAAGCTTTGGAGTTCTCTTGTTACTTTTCAGAGGAAAATGAAGCTACAGAAAAATTGCCTCTGTGAAATAAATCATAACATTTTTGACTCAGATCTTATTTTTCCTTAATGTAAATAGAATTAACTTGCTTAAAGTGTTTCTAAATTAGGGAAATAGGTTATTTATGCTTTAACCTCTGAGTAAATATAGATCCTCAAGATAAGTCTACCTCAAACTTTATAATTAGGTCATGGAGATAAGTCATAGAAGTGGAAAAAGGTTTTTTTCCTGCTCAATTTCAAATACCTATGTTGGGAGAATTCACAATCATAATTGGTGAGCTCCTGGGCAAGTTCCCAAATTTGGGTGGGACAGATGATCCAAGGTAGAACCAAGGAATTACCTTAACACCTTTGAAGTAAGTGCTTTTAAATTTAAGCTCAGCACCACATTCAAAATGAGTCAGCAGGAGGCAGAAGGATCTTGACGAAATCCACAAATGTGCAATGAAAAATTTCCACAACATCCCAGTTGAAGCTAATTTACTGACTGGCAAGTTATCGTTCTTAACAATCCTCCAGAAATCAACTTCCCAGCAGAGTACCCACTGAATCCAGTGGGATCACATTTAAAACACATCTGTTGCCCAAACACCAATGAAAAGGGGTGTTTCAGGTTGCAGAAAACTGGAAGCCAGCAACTGACCATGTAATTCAGTCCCTGGTGGCACTGGAGAAGGGCCCTCAACCCCAGCAGATCTTTTCAGGTTGATCTAGCTGAGCAAGGACAAAAACAATTCTGTGAGGATGCTGAAGAATTTACAAAGAAAAACGGGGAAAAGTGAGCAGATATCCCAAGTAGTAGATGCCTAAGGTAGGACTCTGGTAAACTGATATGTCCCCCTGGCCTGGCCTTCACTTGTAATTATTTTCTACAGGAAGGATTAAAAATTTAAGGTGTTCTTAAATTAAAAGATTTTAATTAAAATGTTTTAAATTAAACTTAAAAAAAAGGTTTAAGGCATGTTGGCATAATTTTAAGTAAAAAATCAGAATATAGGAGTACTTTATGGGAAGAATTTAACTGAACATTACCCAAAGAAATACTACGCTGGACCAGTGTCTCATCTCTTCAAAGATAAGCTTTGGGAAAAAAATATTGAGCTCATATATGAGTAAAGTTTTAATAAAAATATTCAGCATTTAAAGCTATGCTTAGTCAGGAAAACTAGTATTTTCAACAAAAAAGCCCCACACATTTTAGGAAGATAAAGTAGTAGTTATGTAAGGTATAAGAAATGGTCTTAATTCAGTTCCCCACCCCTGCCTCCAAGCTCAAAACAGTTAATACTGGAGAGTTTCCCCCACCCCCAGTAATTGACTTTTCTCTCTATTGTTCCCAGAAACCAGTCATGAGAATAGTCATGAGATTATTGCAGTGATAGAATAAAGACTGATTTGAAGGAGGATAATCAGAATGGAAGCATTCAGATTCTACTTTTCACAATTTTTTCAGGTTAGTTCCTTCTTTATTCCTTATGTTCTGCTTTAAATTCTCACCGTCCTCTAGGTGGTTTATTGCCAGCACTTTTTAAATTAAAAAAAAGAAAAAACATACTAAGTGGCAAAAATAAACATAAAAACAACCTTCAAATACAAAATGTAATCAGTAAAAAGCAGTAAGTCTCCCACCCAACCCAATCACAGTAAAGATTATGTGATTAACAAAATTTATAAAAGCTGAAGTCTTTCAAGGTAACTCCTTTATGACTGAAGATAAAATTGTTCATAACAATATATCTTAGCAGTATGCTCAAAATATGTACATACTAAGCAAGTTTTCACTACAATTTAGACCATATTTGTCCTCCAAGGTATATTTTACTACACAAAGAATCACAACTTCTCTAGCTGAAATGAAGTGTGTAAGAACTCTGATTACAGTGATTGGGGTCAGTATCTACCTAACATTAATATAGTCCCACATCCTATTCTGAAAGTACTAAACTGAAAAAGTGCAATAAACTCAAAAGGTAACACCACGACAAAATTAAGATTTAATAAAGGTTTTACAGTTAAATATTAAAATAACACATTCTCCCCTTTTTCTAAATTGATGTTATTAAACCATCACTGAATCCAAAAATGATCCATAACTAAATGGAATTTCTTTTTGTACTATCACCTATTACTTCAATGTATCAGAAGAATTTACATAACAGGCTAGAGAACAGAAGTAGGAGGTAACAGGTGCTTCAGTACCACCCATTTTATCTATTAAGACCACAGTATGAGCAATAGAGTGTAGATTCATGGTAGCAGTCCCTTGAATGAAACTGTTTAGACAGAATCTTCCACAAACACAAATTTTTGCAGTATCCAAATCTTGGCAAAGATGGAAAGGTATGAGATGTGAGTCATATGGTAACCTATTGAAAAAAAAGAAGGTTTAAAATTTGTTTTAGATTACTAGATTCATATATGAGGACATACATTATTTGACACTATAGTCACAGGACAGATTACTACATTAATTAAATGACAGTATATTTTTTACCCTTCCAACTATTAAGAACTGGGGAAGTATAAAACAGCATGATATATTGTAACCTAAGAGGATCTGTGCCATTCCACAAAGTTTTATTTTTATTTTTAGCACTGCTACTTCATAGCATAACTTGAGTAGAATTAAAGTTATCTTTCCCTAAATTATATTGTATGGTAAGTGTAATATAATTTAAATGTGTAGTTCCAACCCTCACCCTACCTCAAATATAACCAGGCCCTAGTCACTGTCTCCTACAATGTCTAGTATTTGTTGTTTTCCTAACCCCTAGTTTATGCTGGCCCATAAGATGTGCTTGGATCTCTTTCAACAATAAACCTCACTTAAAAAGTTAAAATTTAGAGCCTCCGTGGTGGTGTAGGGGTTAAAGTCTCAGCGCTATTAAGCTATCAATAGCCACTGCAGCTCACATGATTCCAGGCCACAAGGCTGGCAGACCTCTTTGTCTAACCCTCTGATCCCCTTAACAGTGTGTTTCAGTAGATCTGCCTGTTCTGCTCCCCACTTTTGTCTCTGGAGAATCCTCTTACCCCCTTCTCAATGACCTCTTGTATGCGTAAATACAAAATTTGTTGTATTTTGTATCTTGTATATAGAGGTTCCATGTATAAATATACCCCAGTTCTTGTATTCACGAATAAAACTAAATCTTTTAAAAAAAATTAGAGTTTAAAACCATATTAGAAAAGTCTAAATAGAAACATACAAATGAAATAACAATGATTTACTTTTGATAAGGTATGTGGAATTGGTCTTGTTTACAATTTTTAAATTTTTTCACTTATACTAATTCCCTGCTTATATAAGGGACAAGTTTAAAAAACTATGCCAAGAAATGTCTGCCATGTTACATTAATTCTGGTAGATCTAGTAAGTTTTTTAATTTTCTAAAATAATTTATTATTCAACACTAACAATTATTTTTGTCTTTTTATATACTTTGCTCATTTATATCACATTTTGATAACCTATTTTAATCATTTAGCCAATGTATTATATTTTTAAATCTTCAGAAACCACTTACAAAAAATTTGCTCATTTGAACATAATTTTAAAATTTGAATACATGTATTTTTTCTTTCATATATAGATCTTCCTTGACTTGCAATGGGGTTATGTCCTAAAAAACCCATAATAAATTAAAAATACTGTACCATTAAAAATAAAAAAATATTAAAAAATGCGTTTACTATACCTAATCTTACTGATCATAGCAATAGCTTAGCCTACCTTAAATGTGCTCAGAACACTTACATTAATTTACAGTACACAAAATAATTTAATAAAAAGCCTACTTTATTGTACAGTGTTGACTATCTCATGTAATTTATTGAATACTACAGTGAAAGTGAGCCAGGCACTATTCTAGACACTTAGTGTATATTGCAATTTAGCAAGTTATTTTTAATTCCTAGTTAAGTCAATACCTGTTAACCCAGTGATTCTCAATGTTTCTGACAAGCAATGTTAGCACCGCCTTAGAACTTATTAGAGATGCAATTCTGTCAGCCCAAACCCAAATTACCTAAGGATCTCTCACCAGCATCCTGCTTCAACAATATCATGTCTCAGTAAGTGTTATTTAGATGCAATTTCAGATTCTGAGGATCACTTAAAAACTGAGTCCAGAGCCTCCCTGGTGGTGCAAGGGTTTAAAGTGCAGCATTATGAAGCTATCTGCAGCCACTGCACCATGAGTTCAATCCCCGGCCAGGGAGGTGACCACATAGCACAGCAGACCTCTCCTGTCTTGTCCGCTGCTCCCCTCAGCAGTGCATTTTCGTCGATCTGCCTGTTCTGTTCCTTGCACTGTCTCCAGTAAATCCTCTCACTCCCCCCACCACACACATACACATTTAGTCTACACCTCAGTTCTTGAATGCACAAATAAATAAATCTTTAAATAAATCAATAATACTAGGTAACAATTCTACAAAAAATATATCAAACAGTATAAAGGGAAGGGGATAAAATTTTAGACAAAGTAATTAGGTAAGGCCTTTTCTGAGAATAGAGTAAAATAACCTATCAGACTTTCTGGAAGAAAAGCATTCAAGTAGAGGTAAGGGGCAGCAAGAATGCCACTGTCAAAAGGGGTCACTTGTGTACAGCATCATAAACTATATTTGAGAGTATGACACCGAGGATGACAATAATACTGTGTGCTATCAAAGTTGCCACTTATGACCATTAAAGCCTTACCTTTTATATAGTATGGTTCGTGCAGAAGACTCCAACAAAGTTAGTGGTAATTGCAGTTTTATAACTGGAAGGAATTTTGGTTGTTCAAAAGTATTTCCAAAAAGGTCCAAGTACTCAAGGGATAAATTTTTAAACTCACTAGGCAAAAATGGAATCTTATTTCTTGCTGCTGACAAAAAACGCAAGTTTGTCAGTTGTCCTATCTTGAAAGGAAATCTTATCAATTCATTGTCATCAAGTTTTAAATCTGTAAGTTCTTGAAGCTGGCAAAACTGCACAGGGAGTGCCCTGATTTTGTTCTTGCTGAGATCCAAACTCCGAAGTGACTTCTGGAGTGTAGACTGACACAGTGCTACACTAAATGACTCCAAACGATTGTTATTCAGGTTAAGTACTTGAAGATGGATGAGGTCTCCAATTGTAGCTGGAAGTTTTTTTATATGGTTGTGACTCAAGTCTAATTTCCTAAGATTTTTTAAGCAAAGCATACGCATATCAACTCGAACAAGTTCACAATTAGAAGCTTGAAGATGTTCCAAAGAATATGGGAAGTTCTTGCTTAGAGGGTAGTCCTTTTTGGATGTGATAGCCATTTTAGTTTTAAATTTTTCAAATTCTGAAGTCTTCACTGGTGTGGGGGTTGAAAGTTGTGCATCAACATCACAGCCTTTATGAGCCAGTCTCAAGGCTGAAAGGAAGCACTTTAAGGCACTAGAATTAGCCTGAGTAAATAAAAATAAGTTGTACAACTGTAAATTCTATTTTAGATAACAATAACACCTGCATACTAATTCACCCCACAAATTCTACGGACTTATATATACAAGTGATATTTATTGAAAATGGTCATAAAAATAATTTTTTAGTATTCTATTTTGACTAAATTTCAATACAGATACAAAAAACTGTAAAAGCTTTGGGAAAAAATTATGTCAAGACACATATTCTAAATAAAATTATTTAAAGGACGAACCATAAAAGATTAAGTAAGACTGGAAAGCATAAAAGACCTTGAAGAGCAAGGCCAATTCTGAGCAAGGAAAAATGAGAGAAAAGGAGGCACTAAATTAAATGACTTTAAACTATAAAGCAACAGTACTAAAAATAGTATGGTACTGGTGTAAAAACAGACACAAGGATCAAGGGAACAAAAATGATGGCCCAGAAATAAATCTACATACATATCAATACTCAATTTGTGATAAAGCAGCTATGACAATATAATGAGGGAAAGGAAAGCCTCTTAAATAAATGGTGCTAGGAAAATTAAAAGGCGATATTAAAAAAAAAAAAAAAAAACTAAATCACTCTCTTAACTCCATGCACCCAAGTAAATCCCAAATGGATTAAAGATGTACATATAAGACCAGGAAAAATGTATCTAGAAGAAAACATTGATGATATATTTCATAACACTGATGATCAAAATATTTTTGGGAACTTGATACTTACAGTAAAGGAAATAAAAGCAAATATAAACAAATTTAGATTTGTAACGTGATTTGGCTGATCAAATGTACCAAATCTGTATCACTTGCCTTACAAGTTTTAGTCTGTGAACAATCTAAGGTTCCATCTTAGGCACAGAAGCAAACCCAATTTTTCTTTCCACTTTGGGCACTTAACTAGGGGTGACTGCTGTTTTGGAAGCCATATAAACATGAAGCATCTCCACTTCAGTAACACTGGCATGTGGGATATCAGGATGTTCAAATAGTCTTTTCTCTAAAGAAAGTATAGTCAAGCACCCTAACTATTAAATTTTTTAAAAAGATATATTTACACATACAGAACTGGGGTGCAGGCCAGAGGTGCAGGGGCAGTGAGAGGATTCACAGAGACAGACTGGGCAGCAGAACAGGCAGACTGACAAAATATAATGCTGAGGAGAGCAGAGGGCTAGACAGGAGAGGTCTGCTGAGCCATATGCATCACCCCCCAGCCAGAAATTAACTCTATACCATACCATACCTTACTTACACAGATATCCACAGGAGGTTTCTTTAACCGAACAGTAGCTTTCCCCTCGTCCATAAACTTGGTGAAGAACTGCTCAATATTGTCCTTCAGCTGTTTAAAATTAATGGGGGGAAGAAAAGGACAAACTAATATTACTACTAAATAGTATTTATTGCACTATGCCAGCCACCTAGCAAGGCTTTGGTTTGGCTTACAGTCTTTAAATCTGGGTGTTTTGATATTATTATACTATTTGTCTCTTTCTTCCTCACCAGTGTTTGGAGAAAGTTATTTGTCTTTTTAACTTCAGTCTATTAATCTGGGGTAGGCACACCTTTTAGAAGGTTATGAACTCCATAAAAGCAGGAATCCTGTCTCCTTTGTTCACTGTTGTATCCCTGAAGCTAAAACAGTAACTGATACAGTAAATATCAAAACAATTTTGAAGTCTGGAATTCAACAACTACTTACTAAGACAAAACTGTACCAGTTACTATGATAGGAACCTTTAGACAATAGCAGTGAATAAGAATGACATAGTAATTATATTTCTAAAATTACCAATCTGATGAAAGACAATTATTAAACCAGTAATCAAGAACATAGCAAACTTAACACATAGGAATTATAGGCAGCATGCTGTAAGACCTTATGTAGCAAATTTGAGAGTATGAAGAAGACCTTAAAGTTAAGAACTGAAGGTTTAGGAGGTGTTGAACAGTGAAGATAATGAGGAAAGAAAGAGGGAATAGAGGGGCCAAGATATGCAAAGTCTCAAAGGCAAGAGAGAGCCTGGAAGCTTTAAGGAATGAAATACATTCATTTGACTGAAAAGTCCCATAGAAATAGACAGGAATGAGGAGAAGTGAGTAGAGATTAGGTGATGAAAAATTTTTGTAAACCATTCTTTAAAACCTAGATTTTATCTGAAATACACTTTAAGCTAGGACATGGTTAGCGCTACATTCTTTTAGCTCTGTGTAAAGAACAAACTTTGGGGGTGGGAAAAACATTTGGGGGAAGGGAGAACTAGATGGAGTAAAGACAAAGGTGAAGAGGTACAGATCCTTAAAGAGACTAGCCAGGCAAGGGACAGAGGTGGTTTAGATAACAGCTGGGATGGAAGGAGAGAGAGATGAAAATGTAAAGATACTCAAGAGGCAGAAGTGAAAGGATTCAATTATATACTAGATGTGAAGAGGCAAAGGGTTTACATTTTCTTGGTGAGGCAGAACACTACCTGAACAGTAGTTTCTGAGCTTCAGAAAACTGCCAGAACAGCAGGTTTTGAGTGACAAGTAAAATTAATTTTTAGAGATTGGGAGTTTGAAATGCTGCAACATATCTAACTGAAGATTTCTAGCAGATTCAACTCAGAAGTTAAGGGAGAAGAATGGCTAAGAATATATACATCTGGAAGTCTGTCAGATGGATGGTGGCTATCTGACCGTAAGAAAGATCCCCAAGGTATTTTTCATGCGTTACACTCACATTTATCTTTAAGATCCAGGACTAATATCACCATAGTAAAGTTTACTCAGAACTCTCATACTTGAGGCACCACCTCTTCCTGAAAACTTCCTTCCTCTTGAATAATCACATGTCATCTCATTTTTGATACTATACTACTTTGCTCCCATATTGTTTCTAGCACTCATCATGGCCCATCTTAGGGCGGAAGGAGCGACTCCCTTTCTATTTCTAGTCTTGGAGAGTGCCCACAAGTTCATCTCCACAGTATTTAGCACTACACCCTGCACACAGCAAGTGTGCAAGTTTACGATTAAGTTTTTGGTTAATATTCCTATAAGCAACTATTAGTGAGGCAGATGTTTTGAGGAGCAGATAATTAGACTTCAAGGATAAGCTCTACTATGAAAGGCAAGAGAGAGGTTTGGGTAAGACAATCAGGATCCCGGGGGCCGCGGCGATGTGACTTGGCGCAGCCGGGAAGACTCCAACTTGCGAGCAGCGGGGCGCAGGTGGCTAGAGGCTCGGGGTGAGGGAAGCGGCCGGGGGACCCCGTACAAGCTACTCGGCTCCACTCACCTCATAGCTGGTCCCGCGCTTGTCCTTCAGGGTGGCGACGAGTAGAAAGGCCGGGTGCGCGCTGCCCCGCTTGCCCCCAGCCCCGGACTGCGCCCGACAGTCTGGCGTCTGCTGACAGACACTCAACACCGCCCGGACACCCTTACCCCGGTTCCTTAACCCCAAGCACGGCAAATGCCGACTGACCACCTCGACATCGCAGTGCAGCTTCATCGGGCCAGAATCTGGGCACCGGCGCACTGCCGGGCTTTGAAATCCCCTCTTCCCGCCTCACCGCCGGGGTCCTCGGCCGGGGCTGTCCGCGGACCTGCCTGAGCTCTCGTGGTGCGCACGCCCCCCACTTTCTTAACACAGAGGCTCTCCGGGTCCGGGAGGCGAACAAAGTTTTTCCTCCCTTGCAGGACCGAGCCTCTTCTGTGTTTGCCGGCCGGCGGAGCGCGGTCACCGACCGCCTGAGAAGACGGCTTGTGCCTCCCGGAACAGGCGATCGGCTGGGGCGCAACGTGCTGTCCCCGGAATCTGCTACGGGTGGCCGTCAGCGTTTGCGGCCGAGTCTGTTTTCGCTGTGCACACCTAACGCGTGCCCTCGCACCTTGGGGCACTACATTTCCCGTGAAAGGAGGGTGCCCCTCTGTTACAGGGAAGGTCTGTTTAGTTACATAACTTCGGCATTTAGAGCCTCAGATTTGCCGGATGCCGCCAGGGTGCGGCATTTCCCGCCCCTCGTGGGGCGGTACTTTGTTTTGGTGGCTCCACTCTCTGAACGGTAACACCATTCACTTGAGACTGGAGCTTGATCTGGCAAGATTTGACTTGGCAATTCTTGTTGAACGAATTTTCTCTTTGCAACCGCTAATGGGTTGGATGGAATGACTGATTTAGCTGCAAGGTCTTGGAAAGACCTCACGCGCCTCTGGAAGGAACTCGTTCCATATGTTAGAGGTCCATGTGCCACAGGGGACTAGGGAACGGGATGCACCTTTTAAAGTGGCTCTCATTCTTAGAGTCGTTGCCTTGCCTCTTTAGATTTTGTGTTCTAGGCTCCTCCATCTTAGCCTAGTGTGTGGCGGCTAAATGGTTGACAGTGCTCTTAGATCTTAAAGAAAATAGCTTATCTAACTTTTACTTGAGCTTTGCGTTTACAGACCAGTAATAATAACGTTGGACTGAGCTTCAATGCCTGCTGGAAACTGAAAACACAGAGAAAGATGAGGTTACGAAGAGGGAGGGCTCCTTAAAGAAACTAAATCCAGGCCCTGGACTCCTATTATAAATGAAATCTTTCCTAATTGGTTTGGGTAGATTAATGGATTTATTCTGTCCTTTGACTTTGGTCTTTGCTTTTTAAATTGTTTAGTCCCCTTTGTCTCCAAAAGGCTGTAGAATTCAAGAGATGCCAAATCTATGGTACTGGTTTACAGAATGATGATCTTGGGTCTCCTTATGAGGGAGGTCTTGATGATTACAATTATCTTCCTAATGATGGTGTGTTGTTTGTTTAAACGCAGAGTCAGTAACTGCAAGTAAAAAAATGGTATTACAGGTGTTTCGGACTGTTCCCAAACTGAGAGCCCTATACCTATCTCTGTGTCATGTCTTTCCCTCAGGCTGAGATAGCATTTCATTCCACACCTATAGGTAGGGGATAGATTTTGGTGGAAGTAGCTACAGGAGATTGAGACTGTAGTTCCTTACTTATTTAAGAAATAAGGAGAATGAAAGGTTGCTCAGGGTAAATGAGACAAGAAGGGTCTCAGGACAAAAAGAGGAACAGGTCTCAAGGACAGAACTTTGCTGTTCTCATTGTTTTTATTGGGCTGGTAAAGAGAATAAATGAATCTGACTCTAGGTCCAGAAACCTACTGCCATACACTTCCATGGCCCATAAGTTGTTTTTGTTTTTGTTTTTTTAACTGTAGAAGACTGACCACTGGGCCCTCCCTGGTGGCAGTGCTACCAAGCTATTGCAGCCACTTGCAGCAGGAATTCCATCCCTGGCCAGGGAGCCAACCCACATAGCCAGCAGACCTCTCTGTCTTGCTGCTCCCCTCAAGAGTGTATTTTAGTAGATCCACCTGTTCTACTCCCACTCTGTCTCTGGTAAATCTTAGACCCCAAGTCTTCTATGAATAAATAAATAAAAATAAATCTTTAAAATAAAAAAAGAAGACTGACTACTGAATGATATATGAGAATCCTGGTTATATTTATGGACTTGATCTTAGAATTATTGTTATCTTTAAAAAATTACAGCAATATGGATACCAGTCAGGAAAGGACTGAGATTATAGGTGGACAAATGTTAGATTAACTCTTGAAAGGTATATGAATTTTGGAAACTATATATCAATGACTGGCCTACCACCCTTAATGGAGACACTTAACAATATCCAAGAGTTGGAAACAACTTATATGCCTATGGACAGATTATTGGATAAAGAAGATGTGAAATGGAATACTATTTAGCTATGTGTGTGTATGATGGAATTCTGCTATTTACAACAACATGGATAGATCTAGCAGGAAGTATGGTTAGTAAAATTGTTACAGTGCAACCCCAACGTGAAATGGGTTGGCCTGAATGGGTTGTCACCTGCATACTTAAAACGGACTTAAAATGAGACTCAGCTGCAGGGACACACAAAAAAGGTTAATAAAAGGTTTATTTACAAAAAGAGGAAATGAAGAGAGGAATAACACAGGGAGAAAGAGATTGGTGAATGCCTTCTACCAGTTCCATTGAGCTGGGACCTCAATAGCATGCTGAAAATGGAAAGTTCAGCACAGTAAGGAGGATGCAAAGAAATAGCGAGGCCAGTAAAACCAAAAATAGGTTTATTTCCGCGCTCACTGATCCCAGAGAGAGTTGAGGTCAGAGAAGTCACTCTGAGGGAAGGTAAGAAGGGTATTTATAGGCTAGTAGCCGGGCGAAACAGCCAGGTGGGAAATTTTGACAAGGAACTGGAACTTAATTTTCTGCCCGGGCTTGGGTTAATCCCACGCTGACAAGCAAGTCATGTGTTCACTCCCGAATATCTGCTTCTGTTTGGGAAACTGCCCGTTCCGTGTGCCTATGTTTGGCCGGTGTCTGAAACTTACAGAAAACTGGTGAAAAAAATCCAACACCCCAAGGCCCACAAGTCTGGTTATACATTAAGCCTGGCTGCTTAACTCCACCCTTAGTTCCTTGTAATCCTCCCTTTGGTAGCCATGACATCATAGGATTTGTAGCTCTGATTTGGTGTGGGAGTGGAGTCTGTAAAACCTGTGTTTGTGGAGTTCATTTCAGGACATGCTTTCCCTCCAACAAAATGAGTAAAATGGAAAAAGACTAACTTGACTTCACTTGTATGTGGTGTGAACATATTTTGAACATCCTGAAAACCATTCCCTCTCAAATTTTTCCCCTTCTCCAAACCCATTTACATAGGCTTTCAGTGAGAACAGGATCTGTCCTGTTCGGGGAAGCAGTCTTGCAGAAATCTGGTGACTTCAGGTTAACTAAGCTTTCACCAGGGACTCACCAGCAAGTAATGACCAAGGATCATGATAAAATTTGAGGAATGGATACCTAGCCTTGGTGTCTCCAAAATGCATTCCTTAGACAGCCGGAAAGCTATTAAACATTTGCCTTCCTCTGCACACAGATAGAGAGCACTGGCATTTCTTTATGTCAGAGCTTAGGAAATCAAAAAATCTAAACTGAACCTATGATGTAAACAAGAAGCCCCAGTGGAAAATAATTAGATTTTTTTTTGTTATGCCATTTATTTTTAATCTTTCTATTATTATAATTACATCTTTGCACATCTTTTTCCTAATCCAGATTGAATAACTTTAAAAATAGCTTACATTGTTGGAGCTCTCCATAGAATTCATAGAATCCTTAAAAGACTTCTACCAGGTAGATACCATTATTAGCACCTTTTTAGGGATAAAGGCACTGAGAGGCTGAAGGGTCTTTCTTAAGATCAGCATAGCAAGTTACTGAATAGGTTCTAAGCCCAGGAAGTCTCACTACAGAAACCCTTTTAACCACTAAGCTCTGAATGACAGGTTTTGTATAAAAAGAATCTTTATCTGCACATAAAGACAAATATAAAAGGCCACATTTTTAGATTTAAAGCAGTAACAGAAGACAATCAGTTTATGGTGAAATAGAATTATGTGTTTCCTCAGTGTTATCAAACTCTAGCAGTGTGGCTAACTCACCATCTGCATAAATGATACAGGCACAAAACCTGCTTTATGGTAGTTTTCCCTTTTACTTGCATTTTGTCAAGTTCCTTGGAATTAGGTCTCAAGCACACTTTAAAAACAGATTTGAAGCAAGTGCACAAATGAACAATGATGTAAAAATAGATAAATATATTTTAAAACAAAAAACATTTGAAGCAAGTGGTGTATTTTTCTGAGAAGCAATTTTAGGTCAAAATATTTTCTGAGAGCTTACCTTGTAGGCATCTTTAAGGCAAAATCCTGATAAGTGTCTTCTAAAACCTCAAATCTGAGATTATTCTTTTCGTAAGCTCGTTGTTGATAAGAAAACTAACCTGTTACTTTTAATTGTACTTTTTTTTTTTAAAGATTTATTTATTTGTGTATACAGAACTGGGGTGCTGCTGAGGGGAACAGTGGGCGGGCCACGAGAGGTCTGCCACACCATGTGGTCACCTCCAGGGCAGGCAGGAATCGAACTCATGCGGAAGCGGCTTTAGATTCTCAGTGCTGTGCTTTAACCCGCTGCGCCACCAGGGAGGGCCCTTAATTGTACTTTTTTATAATAGTTTATTTTTACATCATTTTGTACATTTTTTAAAATCTCAATTGTAATCCCCATGGGTTTCCCATCACAGAGTCACCTGTGTGCCATCACCGTAGTCCCATGCACTTCTCTTCGCTCCCCCCCAGCCCCACCCCCGTTTTTGATCCCATTCCCCACTCCACCCCCACAAAATGTCTCTGGTATAGTCTCTGGTATATGGCTGTTCATTATTTTTATTAGGAAAATAATTAGATTTTTGAGGTCAAATTAATTTTCTTCTGCATGTATGCTACTCTGTAATTACCAAGGTATATAAACTGGCTCAAACTTGTGATGATCAAAACAGTTCTTACAGAGTAAAATTTGTCAGATTGCTTCCTGGGTTGGAATGCTCACTTTATCTAAATAAACTTTTTTTTTTCTCTAATAAACTCTTTGTTTAACTATAATTGGGACTTTTATTTCAGTCAACAGTGGTACAAACAAAACAAATGAACTAAATAAGAAAGTAAGTTTTAATCCATCAGGATTTTGATGAATGGGCCGCATTCCCCTAGCACTGCAGAGAAGCTCTTATAGGACTTTTCCAAAGTGGAGGTCTTTTAGTGGTGAAGTTAATGTATATATAATACAGCAATATCTCTCTTGTCCTGGAAAGAGACCCTCTAAGTTTAACAAACCTTGATTTATTTGTTTGCCTAACATACTGCTTTTTCCTTGCATTCTGAGGACAAAGAGCCTTTACTACAAGAAACTTCAAAGCCACGGGCAGACTCTTACAAAGAAAACATAAGAATTGCTGACCACCAGACAATGAGGAAAACAAGTTATCACCCATGTCACCAGGTGCTCATGTTACAAGAATGGTTCTAGTGACCCTAACCCACTTCCCTCTTTCATGACCTTATTAAAGGACCCTCCAATGCTTTAAGTAAGCAGGACTGTGGTCTTTCAGACCCTAGTTGCTATGCTCCTCATTTGTCAACAAGTGAAACTACTTTCCTCAAAACTCTGTTCTTATTGGTGAAGGGGAACTGAGACTGACGATTCCTGTATCATATACAAATGTTAATTTATAATGGATATCTGAAACTTACATAATGTTATAATACAGTATTATTTAAATTAAAAAAAAAGATACAAAGTCCAGGAAGATGGTAGAAACTGGATACTGGCCCCCTTCTACAGTAAAGCTTAAAAATAGATTCTAATTCCAGTCTTATCAACTACTAGATCTTTTGTGCATCCTTCACTGTAGTTGCAAAAGGCTGTTTTCCTTTCCCAAGCCTTTTTCAACTCCATGTTGTGGGCTCGTTTTCTTTTCAAGTGACCTTTCCTTCAACCATTTATCATTTGCTTCTTTAGTACTTCATGAGTACATTCATCATTGAATACAGAATAGTTCTATTTACTTAGTTGTATATGGAATATGGAATCTGAAAAGTTGATACCTAGAAGGCAGGGGGTTAAGATAATCCTGTTTTCCTCATTACATTTGCAAGATTTTGAGAGCAGCAACCTCATCATATTTGGTCTTTTAATTTCTGCTTCACCTCCTTTATCAAGTAACAAAGTACCCAAATGATTTAATGATGGGAAGGGACACACCATCCAATACTTGAAGGACAGTCTTGTTACGTGCTCTGACCCTAAAGAATGAATCCTTTGCTCTCTAGGCTAAGAAAGAACTCACCAGATAATACTCAGTATAACTGAACCATGCAAGGCTGTATTAGACTCAGCAAGAGGGAACCAGTGTAGGAAAGAAGAATTAGCTTGACTCCATGAAGGAAGTTAGAGGAGATACTTAAAGGGTAGGGGAGGAGGAGAGCAGCTGCATGGCTTATTCTGGGTTCGGCTATGCCTGGGTACATACATGAGTCACATGCAACTTTACAATGTAGCTTCACAGCTGTCTCTGTCCAGAAAATTGTGAGATAACCCTTAGTCAGGATCTAATGCTTTTTGTCTATCATAGCCTATTGCCAGTGTGGTGGGCCAAATAGTCCATGATTTCATTCATCTGTTCAAAGAGAACTTGGGCCAGCTCAGTTTCTTTTCTTTTTTTCTTAGTATTCTTTTTATTTCTGAAAACAAACAAACAAACATTTCCAGCACTTGATCCCCATAATATGATGGTTTACAAACAAAGCCTTCTTCCTCTCAGGCTCTCGAAGATAAAAATGTGGGGACCACAATTTTAGCCCTGGGTGTATTGAATGATAATAAATGCTAGGTAATTCTGCACGGCATCCAAGTCTGATCCTGCCAGCTCAGTTTCTTTTATTTAAGGTGTTTCAATTTCAAGAAGTGAAATATTATATTTCTCTTGCAAAAATGAGTTGAGTAAAAATTTCTGGGATTATTGCGCAGAGTATATTTTATAGGTTTAGCTAATGCTTTAATTTTAGAATTAAGTATAGCTTTAAGCTTACCTAGAGTCATTATAAATGACCGTGTGAAGTTTAAGCCATTGCTTGGATTAGACAGCCTTTGGTTTTCAATAGTTGTTTTGTCACCATGCCATCTATCAAGTGGCATGTATTGCACTTATATATTGTTTTTCACTTTAAATTCAACCAATGAAATTTAAATATCAGAACACTAAGGGTTAGAAACTTGCGTTATTTTTCTGAAACGGTGTAGGTACCGTCCTTTAAGTAGTGTAATCAATTTTAAGAAACTTTGAAAATGTAGTCTGTTTATTAAAAGAGAGACTCCTACCGTCGGCTCTTAATTATTACAGCTGGTTTTCTTATTTTGTATTATTCTTCCAGTAGATGTCACTGTTGAGTTAAGGACAAGTTCTGTTTTCAAGTGCAAATTTTTAATTAAAAGGTGAGATCGCTTCTTGGCCTTTTGGTTAAGATAAGGTGTCTCTGTCCTTATCAGTTTAATATCTGATATGTCCTCTATCTGAGGACAATGTGCTAAGTGGAGTTTTGGAGTAGGGAGACGGAATAAGAGTTTGCTCCATCCACTCCACGCATTAAAAACAAGAACGTGGAATTAGGTAAAAGGAGACTGGGTCTCAACAGACTGCCGGCAGTACGGATGCGATCTCTTTTCAGGATCGGCCTGAGGAGTCTCTCCGTGCTCCTCGCTGGGTACCGACCTGGGCCGGCCGGCTTCAGAAGACCTCCGCCCCGGGAGAGGTCACAATGCAGACGTGCTCAAGTCAGTAGCTGGTGCGGACACTGGGTGCAGCGCACTGTGGCCCAGAACTACCGAACTAGTGATCCTCAGCCTCAGCCTCCCAGGTAGCTAGGATTACAGGCGCGCGCCACTGCGCCCGGCACGAAAATGCTGCACAGAACTCTACTAGAGGTTGAGTTATGGCGACGTCATCAATGGTGCCGCCCCACAGCGTTTCCAAACCTTCAGGCGAGTTCACGAACAGCGCAGCTACACTGCGCAGGCGTCCTCTGTCACCATTGCATTCTGGGTAAACTTGTCCCCAAAATTTGAAGAGCGCATGCGTAGGTGGCGCCTTCCTTTTTGCCTCGTTGCCTCCGAGAAAGCAAGATGGGTCACCAGCAGCTCTACTGGAGTCACCCGAGAAAATTCGGCCAGGGCTCTCGTTCTTGGTAAGAAACAGAATATGTATCAGGGATGAGTTGGTCTGGGGCCTGAAGCTGTTAGAAATCTAGGTAGAGGCGATCCCGCGGGCAGCGACCCCGGGGGCAGGCCTTGTCGGATTGTGGCTGCCGCCATTACAGGCCTGGAGACGGGCGATGTGGGTAGTGCCTCGCGAGTGCGGAATCCTTAAATTTCTGTAACGTGCAATAACGTCTTCTCCCCGTACAGCCGAGTCTGCTCAAACCGACATGGTCTGATCCGGAAATACGGACTCAACATGTGCCGCCAGTGTTTCCGTCAGTACGCCAAGGACATAGGCTTCATTAAGGTACGCGGACGCCATGCCGTGCCCTTATTTCTGTGAGAGCAGGATGGGCGGGAGGGTCCTTACGGTGAGGTTGAGACTGCTCGTCAGCCCTTACAGAGCAGTCGCTTGTTAGGGGCGACTCGGGTGAGTTTCAGCGGTCTTGTCAATAGACTCGGGATGGATAAAGCCTTTCTAACCTCTTTTTAGCCGGTTCTGCAAGTTTCAGTTGTATGTTGGATAAACTGGTTTCGCTGTTCAGAAACCACTAAAATGCTTGTTTAATTCTTCCTAGATATTTCCTAACCAAATACATGTATTGAACCTTGAAATCAGTTCATAGCGCTATGTACTGAAATGAGCTTTAGGGTTGGGGACATATAACCAGGTTCACATAGAGTCCACCAGTAATAGTACTATTTTTTCAAGACATTGAAGCTTTGGCTGTAGGAAACGTCAGCTTTGTTGCAAAAATTGTGTGTATGTGAAGCTTTGTAGGCCCCTAAAGTCACTTAAATGCTGTAGTTTTTGTTTTCTCTTTATGGGAAAACGAATTCTTTATTGGCACTTGGAGATAAAATTAGATGGTCCTTTGATGCATACTTATTTGATTGAGTGGAACCAGCGAGTCAAAAGATGACCTTGTGATGTTTTATAGTGGATAAAATCATTAACGTTTGATCTCTAACAAAGACAAAATACTTTAAAATTAGACTTTAGCTCCCACCAAATTCTTAAGCAAGGACATGTTTGGTGTTAAATGAGGGAGGACAGCTAACTCAGTGGGAATTTAGTAGCATGTCACAGATTAGAGGGTGGATTGAACCCCACACCGTATTTGTGACCCCCAGTTCTCGCCTAAGGTTAAATGAGTTATTTTATGACTGGCCTTTACAATAGTGTCCGACACTTAACTGAATATCATTAGTTGTGTAATTTGTGTATTGGTTGTGTAATTTGTTACCAATTTAATAACCATTCTGAGCTTTTGAAGATCATCTTACATGGTTTTTAAAAGATTTTGTGGGAAGTGACAATACAAAAATGTATATTCTAGTTGTTGGGTTTTTTATTTTAAGATTTATTTATGTGTACAAGAACTGGGGTATAGGCCAGCGATTGGAGTGGGGGGGGGGAGAGGATTCACCAGAGGCAGTGAAGAGCAGAACAGACAGATTGATTGAAATACACTGCTGAGGGGAGCAGTGGGTGGATCAGGAGAGATCTGTGCCATATGTGTTACCTCCCTGGTGGATTATTGAGCTCAAGCTGCAGTGGCTGTGGGCACTTGGTAGGGCTGTTCTTTAACCTGTTGTGCCACTAGGGAGGGCCCTCTAATTGTTGGGGTGTTAGAGCAGTTTTTAGATATTAATAGTATGGGAGTATCAGATTCCTGGTTTAAACCTATTAACTGATGGGCTAGCACTTTGTAAAAATAAAGTACATTTTAAAGCACACTGAACTTACTTATATCCTGTCTTTTCTTTTTCAGTTGGACTAAGTGACCTTCCTTGAATTGGTCGTCAAGACATCTACCTTAAAGCAGAAATAATGCTAATAGCTCTTTGTACATAAAATAAAAAAAATCAATGATGAATGTTCTAATGTGAGTGGTGTAATCAGTTCATTATAGAAATCTTTTAAAAATGTATTCCCAATAGATTAATTTAAAAAATTAAATGCTGAACTCTGGTAAATGTCAGTTTTTGTTTTGTACTTCAAAAATGTTTTACATGAATGATCTGCTATAGGTAGGAGTATCTGTCATAACCTGAGACAAGTTGTGAATAATTAGCTTACTATATTGAAATGGGGCAGTAGAAGTAAACCTGTTGAAAATTATTGAGGAAAAAAGGTTCTGTTGCTAAAACATGCTCTTACCATTTGTCCATAGTTGGGGCAATCTTAGCTTTTTGGGATACATGATAGAAAAAAGGTACATTTCTCAAATATTTGTATGGAAGGGAACAGTGAATATACAGGATGAATAGTAAATATGTAGCATTTGGAGGCCAGTGACAAATGACTACCTGTGGGTTAAACACATTTTTAGCAACATCTTCCCCACAAGAATCTCAGGTTGGTCAGTCTGTTTCATGGTATGCCCCCTCTAGGTTTGCCCAGGTTGAGCCTATCAGTTTTTAAGCCTGATATGATTTCATTATAACAAAACATGGGAATCCGGCCCTCCCTGGTGGCGCAGCGGGTTAATGCACTGCAAAAGAAGCTTAAGCCACTTACCATGAGTTCCATCCCCGCCTGGCGTGGCAGACCCCTCCTGACCCGCCTGCTGCTCCCCTCAGCAGTGTACTTCATTGATCTGCCTGTTCTGCTCCCAACTCTGTCCCTGGTGAATTCTCTCACCCTCTGCATCTCTGGCCTGTATTCCAGTTCTGTATGAATAAATAAATCTTAAAAAAAAAAAAAAAGGGAATACAATGTCAGACTTAAAATGTTGGTGTGCTTCATTTTCCCTCCAAAACTCCAGTGCCAATACTCTTAGCATCCCCACTACTCCTCTTCCCTTGTCCTTTCTCCTCTGATAACCACTATTTTTCAGTTTGTTTGCCAGGTTGTTTGGCTGTTAGTCCACAAATGAATAAGACTATCTGGTAATTACCTCTCGATTTCCTTATAAGTGGTATCAATTTACAATCCATAGACAGTGAACCGGAGTTCATTTTTCTCATCCTTGTCAACATTTGTTTACATTCTTTTGGATTCAGGTCATTCTCCTAAGACCAGGGTGTGAATTAAACTTATTAAGCAGAAGTTATGGTGAAACTTGAGTTGCTATTATTAAACTAGGTCTGAAAAACTAGTTTTGGGAAGAACAGGTCAGTTGGGAGCATACTAATTGATACTTAGTAGACATTCATCTGAGCTCTCAAATACACTGGGCTCAGTATAGATCTAGAGTTTGATCAGAATCCAGAGCATCTTGTGATTTGAGAGACAACTTTGGTTTTACTTGGAGTGTGAATAGTATTTGGTATTTTGGAGTATCATACTATTTTGACTAGATAAAATACGAAGTCCTAAAGTTTGGGTAGGAAAAGACTTCTGGCTTTTCGCATGATAGTGGGAAGATGGGGATTCAGTGAAGTAAACTGAAGGAGAAACAGTGACATTTAGTACCTGGTGCAACTGATTCACATACTATCAGGAAGGGTAGCTGGAATGGAAAAAGCCTAATGGATTCTGATTAAAATATCTGCAAAATGTCCAAAACATGACAATATATTGCTAGTGTACTTCCCTGGGGCTTTAAAAGGAACATTTGGTGGCTGAAGACAGAAACATCAGTTTCATGAGCTTCATGATTAAGTCTACCTCTTAAGCCAAAATCCATGGAATATGTGATAAACTGCCTTAGTTGTTGGAGAAGTATCTAGGGAAGAGACAAATATCTAGGGAAGAGCTATAAGAAGGTGGAAAGTATATTGTGAGAGGAGCTCGAGGTTGTAGAACAGTTTCTGGTAATGGCATGGAGTTCATAGTGTATGGGAGAGTAAAAAACTTTGTGGGCTGAATACATTTATTCAGGTGAAGGAAGGAAGTAAAGGAAAAATGAGAGTCACACACCTAGTGATTTAAGCAAATGAGGGAGAATGTGAGATGTATTTGACTTGGTTATGAGAGTCTCCTGGATGAACTGGGCTCTGGCCTAGTGAAATGGCCTAGTATAAGGAATTATGTTATCTGGGGGAACATTTCCTAACTGTCCCGGCCCTGTTGTATGTGATGGTGGTGGTGGGGTCCACTGGTATTGTTAGGTGGTCTGGCTTCTTTACCTCTGGGTGATTTCGTCTGACCAGGGTTGCCTCTTAGCTGTTTTACTGTAAAGTATGTTTTAATTCAGATAGCCTTAAAATGTTCACATTATAGGACTAACAGATAATAAAGGTAGGAGTAGATTTCCACTGATAGCTACTGTGATTAAAGTTACTGAGGTTTCAAAGAAAGGTTCTGGAGAAGTCGGAGTGGAGAGAGACTAGTGTTAAGAAAGAAGCGTCCTTTCTGCTTTCCTATGACAGTGGTTCTGGGGCTAGGAATGCAGAATGCCACTGATCTCAGAATACGTGCCAGGATACGGCCATATTTAGAATTAGACCACTGAAGATGTGTTTATCGCCTCAGATGTGGCAGCAATGAAAAGAAACAACAGTTTTAATAAAATGTGTTTAATAAAATCCTAAGTGTAAGTGCCAGTAGCCTCATGAACATTATACAACCCAATAATAATGATGCTGATCCTGTAAACAGCTCCCCTGTGCAGATTAGCTGATGCTCACCCGCCAAGCATCAAGCGTTAACAGCAGGCACTAGAAAAATCAATAAGCTTTTACCGAGGGAACCAAAGATGTGTAGGTTACTAAAAACCCTGTTGTCCATAAAGAAAATATCTCATTATATTAATGCTAAGGAGGTTTTGCTTTATTTCCAAAAGAATAAAAAGATTACATATGTAAGGACTAGTTGACAGTGTGATAAACATTCACAGCAGCATAGACGAATCAATAGAAACACAAAATAAGAAGAGGAGGTTCTTGGCAATCGTGGAATCTGATAGACTATGTCTGGTTTATCTTGTGTTCTCTTCTCACAAGCCCACACCTTCCACTTTATGGTGACACTTGTGCATCTGTTCTTTCTTTGATGCTAATTAACTCTGATTATTCATTTATGAAGACGAAGTGTGGGCATCTAGCACAGCTGATGTGTTTAGTCAGTCACGAAAGGAAAGGTTTTGTGAAGTGGATTCATATTTGGAACTTTTTGGGGAATTTTACTGGCAGGTAATTTCCTTAAACATAATCTCCTTTAAAGTTTTCTACCTGATTGGGAGTCTTCATTATCTGCTTCTTGAGTATTCCAGCCTCATTATTACCAAGGGAGCCAATCATGATGATGACTGCTCCTCTGGTTCCTTCATTATAGGTTTTCTGAATACCCTTATCCCCTGTTAATGACTTCAATCTGCTCTTGAAAATCCTGCCACTAAGTTAAAACCTGTCAAAAGAAAAATATTTTTATTAATTTTATAGGGGAAAATTATGTGTTCCCTAATAATACAAGACATGCAGGTAATTTTCATTTTCACCAGTTAAATGGTGAAAAAAACTTATAATCAGCAATGACATAAATATATCTGATACCAACTGGTATACTGAAATTTAATTCTAGTACTAGCTGGGAATTTGCACAGAGCCCACAGTTTGAAGGGTATAGCCCACAGTGAGGCTGCCGTCACGGCCAGCTATGCTTTGGAAGTCCCAGATTACCTACTTTCTAACTCTTTCAATGCAGTGCTATGAAGGAAAATGGGACAGCATGTATAAAGTTTATTTACAGAAATTGGCCCTACTGTGTGTAGGCTCTTCTATGTTATAATTGCAAATATTGCTAGGTCTAACCTAAACCTAATTGCATCGTGGATATCTGAGCCAAGAAGAATCCTTAGGTCTGCTTGGAATCAGTAGGTGATACAAAGCTCTGCCTTTGGGAAAGACTGATGCTAAGCCTTCCCTAGAGATGAGGAGAAAAGCGGTAGAGATGGAGATAGAAAAGTCAGGATGTAAAATTTCTCATTTCTTGAGTGTCTGTGAGGAAGGGGAAATCAGCATCTAATCCAGCTGTGCCTATGTCTAGGCCACAATGCTCTCCAAAATCTCTCTTTGCTCAGCATTGGGGCTCCAACTTTTCTTTGATTGCTCTCTATATGCATAGAAATTAGTGGTCTCCACTTTCATCTGATCACCTAAAATAATGCTTATAATAGTGGTGGACAATTCCCACTCATATGTCAAAATACTAACTGGGTAGTTGTTTCCATTATAAATGATAATATTTACATCTCTGACCTATTGCCAATATCCATTGGACAATGTTCAGTAGTGTATGGTTAGGTTAGGTGGTTGGATGGTGCAGGGTCTTGAAGGCGGAGGCCTTGACACAAGACTTCCTCGAGGCATCTGAGGACCCATGAGGAGGCTGGACAGAGCTGTTGTGAGCATCTTATTTTTGCTGGTCTGTCAAATAGTTACAAGTGTTGGAATGACCTTGGAGTCAGGGCTGTGAAGAGTATTTGGGCTTCTGGGCACTGTTGTTCTCTAGAGCACAATCTCAAAATGTTACAGAATGAGAACTTCAGGCATCTAGTGTCATGAATTTTTCCCAAGACCATGTGTCCTGTGTCTTCTGCTGATGTCCTCATTTCCCTGGGGCTTGTGACTTCTGGGCTCCTGCTCTGGGAGAAGTCGGCCCATCATAGTGGAGCTTTTCACTAGACTGACACCAGATGACAGATCACTGAATCTCAGGAAACCACTCCGAGGAAAAATGAAAGTGGTTAAAACCAAAATGTCAAGGAATTAGAGTTGAAAACATTAATAAAGGAATGGTTATTAAGTGTATCTGTATTTTGCATTTATCATGTATGGTCATGAGTTGCTTAATGATGAAGATTTGTTCTGAGAAATGTAGCAGGAGGCAATTGCATTATTGTGCACACATCAGCCTGTGCTTACACCTAACTAGATGGTTATCTACATCCACCCTAAGTTTAAAGTACCCCTCTATTTCCTCAAGGGTTTCTAAAA